AATCTTTTCTGTAGTAATTGTAAAATATAAAAAGAAGTTATTATTAATAAAGTTAGTTACTGTGTCTTTTTTTTTTTGCTAAATCACCAAACCTTTTGTTAATTGATCGTATTTAGTATCTTAGTTTCATACAAATTATGCAACGCAAAGGAGGCAAGCCACCACATTCTCTTAGTGAATATTTTTATATTATTTCTAATGAATAGGCAAATAAAAGTAACCGAAAATGTATTTGTTGAGCTTGTATGGATGCGGTAGGAAGAGAATTTGCTCTAAAAGATGATAATTTGAAAATTATAAATACCAAATGTTATTGTGCCAACCATCTTAGAGACTGCCCTTATTTTGCCACCAAATATTTACTGAACAAATACAACTCATTCTCAATTCTGCTACACTTTCACCACCAAACAAATGGGTAATGATATCTTATACAGATGAAGAAGATGAAGATGAATATGATTCAACTTCTGGAATAACATCTTCTAATTCATTAGCTTCTAGTAATATTTTAAAAAAACAAACCACATTATCCAAATATGTTGGTCGTTCACTTACTGCTTCAGAAATTTCTAAATTTGAATGTCTTGTACTTCGAGCAACTGTTTCAGCTAGATTTGCATTTCGGTGGATTAAAAATCCTGAAGTTAGAGAAATGTTCTACTTTATTTCTCCATATTTAAAACTGCCAGATCAAAAATTGCTTAGTAATCATATATTAACAAGTGCAACTGATGAAGTCCAAGTAACAATTAAGGATCTTGCTTGTAAAGATAAGATTAGTATCACGATTGCTTTTGATGGTTGGCGTAATATTGTTAATCAGGAACTAATGGGTGTAGTATTTATTACATCTTCAGGAGAAACCTTAATTTGGGAAGCAGAAGATATTAGTATAGAAAGACAAAGACAAGAAGAAGTAATTAATAGAATTCGTGCACTTTTTAATCAAGCAAAAGAATTGGATATAAGAGTTAATTGTCTTGTGACTGATTCAGCTGGATCTTATGCAGCTGCTCATCATTTTTTAAGATGTGAAATACGTGATAAAGTATTTATTCCTTGTTTTGCACATCAGATGAATTGTTGTGTTGAAGATATATTTAAAGAGTCTACAGTATTCAAAAATACAAGCAAACATGCTCTTCATATTGTTTCTTTTTTTCACCATTCTGTATATTTTATGGCTAAACTTCGTGATAAACAAATAAGTATTCTAAAAAAATATATTAATTTTGTTACTCCAAGTATAACAAGATGGAATAGTCATTTCGAATGTTTTGATAGTGTTCTTAAGAATAAACATCCATTAAAAGTAAGTTATTTAATTAAATTTTAAAATTTTTAATTTTAAAATTATTGTAATTTTTTTTTTTTTTTTAGACTCTTGTTACCAAAGATGATGTGGCCTCAGACGATGATTTAAAGCTTTCAACTGAAATCAAAATTGCTATTAACCATGATTCTTTTTGGGATTCTCTTACAATATTATATAAATTACTTTGTCCTTTTTGTGAAGCTCATGATCTTATACAACATGACAAAGCTTGCCTTCATAATGTTTTACATACCTTCAGTTTTTTTATACAAATATTTAAAGAACTTGAAGAATCTCAATTTTAAAAAGAATGGTTGAAAGACTTGAAAAAAGGTGGGCTACATGGGAACAACCATTGCTTATTCTTTCTTTTATTCTTCATCCCCTATATAAATTGAATTATTTTAATCAAACACAATATATTAACTTTACTTACATGAGAGCATAGTTATCATATTATTATAAAGTTTGGTTTGATACTAAGCCAAATTGTTTGCTTCGTGAACTTGAACTTTATAAACAGCGAAAGTATTCTTTTACTGAAAAAACCTTTAACCATTTTAAAGAAGATATAGTTCTTTGGTGGTCTTATAATTCTGGTGCTATACCAGAACTGTGTCATGTTGCATGCCAATTATTTGGCATATGTGTTACAACTGCTTCTGTCGAAAGGCTTTTCTTAACAATAGGCTTTTTGTATTCTCTGTTAAGAAATAAACTAAAGGTAAATTTAATTTAAATTATAAATTTTAATATATTAAAATTTTTTTATTATAGGATACAAAAGTTGTTGCAATGAGTCAACTCCGTGCTGAAATCTTACGAGCTTATAAAAAAAAGATCAAACCTAATTATAGTCAATCAGATTACTCTTCCTCTGCTTTATCTTCCTTTGCTGCTCCAGTTTCTGCTAGCTCTTCGCTATCTAATCAAGATCTAGAATTTGAAAAGACTAATACAGATGATATAAATGAAAAAATTACTTCAGAAATTGATTGGAATATCGCTATTAATGAGTAGAAAGAATTATTAATTGATGAAGAGTTTGAAGAAGAACAAGATGATCTTGATATTGCCGATATTGATTTTCTTGATTCAGAAACACATTTTGCTGAAAATCAAGCTGCTAAATGGAAATTACATGATTTGTTTTTACTTAATTTACGTTTTCCATTTGAATAATGTATATTTGAATTATATAAAAATGTTAGTGATAGTGATACATAGTAAATTTGTTTTACAAGCATGTACATATGAATGTATATATGTCTATTTAGAATAATAAGCTTTTTGAATAGTAATAATGCAAAGAAAAACATGGTTATATAGGGAGGAAAAAAAATAAAGTACAGTCAAACCTCTCTATAATCACACACTTGGGATACAAAAATGTGTGATTGTAGAGAAGTGTGGCAGTTATAGAGGTCAAATTTATTATATTCAATAATAGTTTGTTTTTTAAAAAATATGCATATAAAGAAAATGTGCTTATATAGAAGGTGACTATAGAGAGGTCTGACTATAAATCTAAATATGTTTTGGTTTTTAAATGTATAAAATGAAGTAAAAAAAAAACTTTGCACCTGAAGCTTTATTAAGTCTAAATTTTACAGGAAGTTCTGTATTCTTTATAATTTTTACACAAGAAAAGTTTTTATTTGAGTGCTAACGCTGTAACGGGAAAAAAAAAATCCTAGTTGGTCTCTACTTTCTTTTGCTTAATAAATCGTATCTAGTATGTATTACATAAATTTTGAGTTTACTAAATTACGTTTTAGTCTATCTAATGCATGATTTGATTGGTTAATAACCATTCATATGTCCAGTCCAATGTTTATTGCTTTTGATTGGACAGTTCGGACACTATTTTTCAGACAGATTTCTATTGTCTGAATTCTATTCATGCCAACCCTGATGTATATATAATGATATATTTAATGATTGACTAATCAGAATTAAAACTCTCTATGCTGCATACCTGTGGATACCCATGGGCTTATTATTATTATTAGCATTAGGAAGACTGTCCCAAATTAGATCAGCTAAAGTAGAGCAAGTTTTAAATTCATAGTCTGCCAGTCGACTGGATGCCCAGTTACTTAATTCATATGATTGGCTGATTTTTGTTAGCTCAGATTTAGTATAACACTCATTCAACCAAAATAAAAACTCCTCATTGCCAGTTTTTAATTTAGTATAACAAATATCATCCATTCGATCATGTGTTTAGCTCAAAATTATAAGTTGAGATCCTTTCATCTAATCATCAATCTCATTAATCTCTCTATTTATACCTATTTATTCTTGAATTTATATTTAAATTATATATCAAACATTATACTTTATCTTCGTTACAATGCATACATATACTATAATTATAAGGCTTTATATTTCATTTTATTTATTTTTTTTTTGTTTGTGTTTAAGGTGACCTCTTTGGCCGGGGGGCTTTTTATTAGATAATTAACAACGTTACAATTATGATGAGAGTACAACTAGCCACACGTACAACTTTTGGTTATCTATTTTAAGTGGTCCGCCTGAGTTCTACACTAGCCGCCATGCC